GAAGAACTCCACTGAACAATTATAATCCTGTGGATCCATTTGAGAACAAAATATAAATATTAACTTAGATGCTCCGTTGAGCTGTTCAGATAACATGGGATATAAATGAAAGCAAAAAATTTAGCTCCATTGGGCTGTTTAGATAACTGTTTTTTCCTACATGTTTGAAATGGAAATCCACCGTATTGGTTCCAGGCGTGTGAACTTTCTCATTCACTCTGGTCAAAACGAAATAAAACTCTAAAGGAAAGAAAGAAGAATTTATCAGGCTATGAATTCCAAATCAGAGAATGGATGATGAACAACATGCCTTGAATATAAAAGAGTGAGAGCCCTCTGTACGCAATTCGCTCCTACCAGAGGCTTCAACAACTCTGCTCTTATCATCCACTGAATTCCTGAGGAGACAAACTAAAGACTCCCACATATTCCTATTGAGAGAATCACCAACAAAAACTAGACGCTTTCCTCTCAATAATCCCAACATGTTCCTACCATTCAACCTGCTCAGGAAGTTCATCAGAAACCAGCATCACAAAAACAGAACCAACAAGCTTTATTCAACAGAAACAATCTAGCAAATGCATTAGCATAAAACATAAACACACACACACACACACACATTAGTCCACAGAACAGAACACTATATGAAATTCATTTTGAACTTTCAACAGATATAACAAGTAATTGTTATATTGATCCTTACAAGACTAATTGCAAGCAAGCAAGAATTTTGCACTTACGAAAACCAGCTATAACTCAAGTATAAAATTGCCACAACAGCCAAAGTTTGTTTAAAAGTAAAACCTTAAATTAGAAGTGAACCCAAATAAAATATAATACAAAGAAAACATACTTAAAATATATGTAAAAACAGCCCCTGAGCCCCGCAAATAAAAAATACCTCGGGACATTGCAATGTTTTGGTTGCCATCTATACTTCTCGTAACCATTATCAGGCCTCTTGTTAAGAAAACAATTGAAAGACTCATCTATGTGAGGACAAGACCCCGGAGCATAAAGCGGGTACAAATCATCTCTCACCCATCTTCCATCAAATATGTCACAATCATTCGTCCAAAAATCCAAACCAGGCCCAGTTTGTTTGCTTTGCTTCTCAGAGTCAGGCAATGCCTCATTGCCACCATCACTCTCTTTCGACGTCAATGCAACATAGCTTGATCTTCCTGCTTCTGCTTGCCCCAAAACCCCATTCTTTGCCAAACCATCTTTTCCATTAGGATCTTTAGAGAAAGATTGAGAACTCATAGCCACAGGCTTAGCTTCCGTCGCATTAACCTTGAAAACTTCAATTTCATTCGACGACGAGGAAGATTCATTTGTTCTCTTTGAACCCTCCAGTTCCCCAGAAACTTGGATTGTAGTGTTCTTGGACGTCTGATTGGAGTCTTGAGACAAGAAAAGAATGGGGTTGGGTGGTTGAGCATTACCCATCTGATGATCACTCTTCAAACTTCCACTCTCCTCCAAATGTGGTAAAGATTCACTTTTCCCGGAAAATGGGTTTTCCCGGGAAAGCTCAAAAGGGGTGTTTGGGGTCTGGGCATAAGAGGAGTAGAAGGAGGAGGCATGGAAGATGTTGGAAAAGAGTAGCCAGATGGGTTGAAAACCAAGAAGAGAGTGCAGGCAATGCAGACAAATGAGAATCCATAAGCAAGGGCGGGGGCTCTTCTTGAGTTGAAGAAGATTGATGAAGGAAGCAAGGGCTTGGGCTCTGCCTTTGTGATTGTGGGTGGCTGGTGCTTTATGGATTGTGGAGTTGTCTGGGTTGGGGAATCTGCCATTGTGAATTGTGAGATGTGTGAGAGTGAGACTGAGAGAGAGAACAGAGAAGAGAGCTGAGAGTTGAGGTTCAGTCTAGTTTGTTAATTTTGGCCCCCAGGGAGAGTAATTGGTTAAAGATGGAAGATTCATTTCACTTGTCTAATGTCTTTTTTTTTTTACTGTTGAAGTGGTTAAACCACTTGAGGGTCTAAGAAATTGGGAAATATGATGTGCTGTCAAAATAATCACTGTTAGATTTGCTATGAAAAAAATCAGTTGTGAGATAAAGCAGTTTGGAGTTTGGTAAACTTTTTGTTAGAAGTGTGGTTGGTAATAAAAAAAAAAGGGGGTTATTTTTGGAATTTCGAAAGTTTCATTAAATTCAACGTCTCTTCAAAATTGATTCCTGCATAATTAAAAAATGAAAGTAGTTCATCACCTGCTTTCCCTAATTGCTTTCTCTCACAACAATGATTCAAAATAAGTGATTTTATTATCTTTTACCAAACAGGTTGGGCTTTCAAAAATTTCAAAATAATCACTTATAGCCCCAAATAAGCAATGTCAAACGGGCACTTATTCTGATATAATCACTTGGGGACTTGAAATTACTTAAGTGCCCTCCATATAAAAGCATATCTATTGTGGAGTTATTGGCACACTTCTGACTTCTCTCTCTCTCTTCCTCTCTCAGCGCTTTCTCTCTCCATCGACCACCACCACTCTCTTTCTCCTTCTGTCGCTAAAACCTAAGCAGCACTCTCTCGTTCTCTCTCTGCAGTCAATGTTAGGGTTTGTTGAGGGGGTTCTTGAAGGTGAAAGAGAGGCTTTCTTCATTAATGCTCTCTCCCTTCAACAATCTCTTAGTTCCCTCTCTTTTCATGTCTTCAATCGACGTCTTTTTCTTCTCCTTTGCCCCTTAAGGGCCTCAGAAAACCCTAATTCTTGGTTTCGGTTCCAACTTTTTTCACATACTTCCTCTTCATTCTCAATCCTCTCACAGACAAAATTCGGTGCTTTTCTTTAGGTGTTTATGGGATTTCCAATTCGGTTTTGTGCGCAAAACGAGTGATTCTAAGGTGGGTTTTGTATTTGTTATTGACTAGTTTGTCTTTTTGTATGGTTTTCATTTGAGAAGGATAATTTCACTAACCTGTGACTGATTTTGTGAAGTTTAGTAATTAGAGAGATTGGAAATTTCTGTATTTTAACTGTGAATTTGTTGTTATCATTGCTGTTTCAGGTTTACATTAAATAATAATCAAGCAAACGAGATTCTTTAGGTTTACAATGGACTCATGGACATCAACTAACCTCGTACAATCTTCAAGAACAAGTCTTTCTAAATTGGGGACTAGTAAGAAGCTAGAGATTTCAGTAAGGCTATGGGAATGACTTAGATCAACGGTCTTCAAAGAGCGAAGGTACTGTAAATGAAAAAGAAAGAAAGAATGTGTGGAGTTAAGTCTTATGCATGTAAAATTAATCATAAACCACATTTAACAAAAGACAATGGACAAGTGTGGAGTAGCATACCTTGATTCCCTTACAGACTTGTCTCAATTTACTGTTAGGCATTTCAAGATAAACCAAGCACTCCAAAGGAAAATCACTGGGTATAGATTTCAAAGGAAATTCAAGCCAACACAACCATCTTAATCCTTTCGGAAATTCTTCAATGCAACCATTGAATCGAACGTGACTAAGATGGAGTAGTCTTAGTTTGGACATCCTTGCAAATGCACTAGTTTCCAAGACTTCCTCATCTGAGTTTCGCCAAGGAGTGTTTAACGAGTGCATATGCATATCCAAGGCAAGGCCTTCAATGGTTTCTGTACCCTAATAAAAATTTAAAAACAAAACAAAACAGAAGAAACATTTGGATAAGCAAGCAACAACAAGGATATATAGGCCACCCGTAAAAAATGCCTGCACATGCATAAGAGGGGGATGATACTTACACTCTTTTCTCTCAATACATTGAAGGAATCTTTTATCATTCCACAATCTACTACGATTCGCAGGCTCCTTGGATTCTAGGCGAACAATTTCTCTTCCCATATCACATATCATTTGATGCATACTCACTTTCTCATCTTGATCAACTGTTACCAAGCATCTATCCAAAAGATTTTCAATGCCAACAACTGTGAAGAAATCACATCCGTATAGTATTCTAACAGTATAATGTTTTCTCTTCCCAACAAAGAAATATTCAATTTGAAGGAATAAAATTTGGTCATCGGGGTTATCCTGTAACTAACCAAGAAGGGTCCAATTGGTGTTCATTTGGTAAATGTGGAACATCTGCATTATATCTATTGTTGGTTTATGCAAGATACTGTAAACATGTTTGAGTTGAAATTAGTCCCACATTGGAAAACTAGAATTCCTTCAAAGTCTTTATAAGATATACTCTTGGAGATGGAATAGTTTCGATTGGGTTATGCAAGTGGCCCAATTGAGTGGTTTGTGGGTTTTCTCTTTGGGTTAAATATATTTAATTAACCAAAAGATGGGCCTTGGGCCTTATTTAATTGCTTTCATCTGTAATTATATTTTAATTATTGTTTCTTTAGTGAAGAATTAAATATTTTGATTAACTTAATGCATGGTAATTATTTTTAAAATTTTTAAATTTTCATTTAATCAAATATTTTAAAACTAATTATTCACTAAGTAAATACAAATTAAAACATAATTACTAAACAAAGTAATTAAAAAAGAGAAATCAAGAAAGGTATAGCCGGGCGGCTATACTTTTAAAATATTCTATTGCGGCTATACTCGTTTTGCACAAAAAAAAAATATTATAACCGGCCGGCTTTACCTCTTTGACACGTGGGCTTAGGCCATGGGCTGGTATTTTTATATATATAATAGTATTGCGGCCGGCTATATTGTTTTTAATTTTAAAAAGGTATAGCCGTGCGGCTGTACTCGTTTTCCCTTATTTTTAAAAAGATAGGCTTTACTCGTTTGACACGTGGCACCTAGGGGTCCTTTGTTTTAGGATATATTGTATAGCCGCACGGCTATACTCTTTTTTATTTTTAATATTTTGAAAATATAAAATTTGTTTCTTCACTTTTGGTTTTTGGCCTACTTCTTTAATTTACTATACATAATCAAGTAATATATTAGCCTTTTTTTAATCACTTTGCTGAATGATCATATTTGAATTATTATTTATTTTAAAAAGATTGAAGAAAAAGAACGCAAAGTAATTAATTTATATTTATTAAGTCCTTTGTGAAATTGTTTGGGTGTCTTAATTCAATTTCTCCATAGGCCAAGAGCCCTATCCATTACTATTATGCCATTACTCGAGTACCTACCGTCCCTCTTTGATTTTTTTTACTTTTCCAAATTTATTATCCGTATAAAGATTTTTGCACTTTCACGTTTAATAATGTATTATACACGTACGCACGTATTTCTCATGTTTAATACATGTATTTTTTACAAAAATTTCACTAAGACACACAAAATTCACATATTATACATGTATTACTGAATAAAAATATATATACTTTTTATAAATATTTTAAAAAAATAAAAAAAAGGGTTAAAAAAAGTAGTATAGACGTTCGGCTATACTCGTTTTGCCAAAAAAAAATAGTACAACCGGCCGTCTTTACCTCTGACACATGGGCCCGGGCCATGGGCCATGGGCCATGGGCCATGGGCCATGGGCTGGTCTTGATA